AGCCTCCTTTTGGTGGTGATTGGCCTGGTGCTCCAGCCTAGTCTGAAGTATGTTGAGAGGAAAAGATGGCTGAAGTTCTCCGTCAGTGCTGATCTCCCGGATCTTAATTATTCTACTCATGGCAGTGCTGATACCTTAATGCAATGATAATGGAGTAGTAAATAGTTAATAACTTAAGGGTTTTTCTATTATGCGTCAGACAAGATAAGATAAGTACGTATTTATTATATTTTTATTATTAATTATGTATTAATTTATACAAAAAAATTTAATATTAATTTTAATATCTATGACACATGGATATTTTTTATTGGATAATTGATATAATTAATATCAATTTTTAGTTTTATTATATATATTAGAGTTTATCTATCTTTTGGCATTAGGGCACATTATAAGAAATAATTATTAGTCAATAATTATTACTTTTTACCTTAAAAAGTGATGAAGTTAATTATTGTTTTAATTGTAATTGTCATGTGTTAATTTTTTATTGATATATTTTAAATTATAAAATAAAAATTATTTTTTTAATTTAAAATTTAACATTTTTTAAGAAAAAAATTACAATTATTACCGAATCATTATTTTTTTATTTTATGCTCTAAGGGATGCAAGATAGACAAACTCTATATATTAATAATAAAAAATATAATAAATATACTTTTATTCTTAAAAAAAAAACCCATAACTTTATAGCTAATGATTAATAATTGTTGATAGTTATAATTTAAAACATTTAACCCATTTAATTAAAATTAATAATTAATAGTTGATTTCAATAAATTAAAACAAAGGCTTCTTCAATTTGCTGTCGTTTTAACTTCAAAGCTTAGATAAAAAGTCTCATTTGACCCTTACGCATCCACCATCTATTTATATATATTAAACCAAAAACTATTTAAGGTAAGTATGTTATGTATTACTTTTAGAAGCATTTCTTGATATACTCTTTTGTTACCACGTGTTAATACTTTCCTTATTTGGTAAATCTACCCTTTTGCTGTACTTTTTTTTCCTATTCGTTAATTTTAGCCTAACATATTTTACCATCCTTCATTAAATTTAATTCACCTTCCACTTTTATTTACTGCACTTTCTTTTCAACATGCACTTTGTTGGGGGTGTATTGGTGATGAAGGTTGATGAGTCAGCAACGGTGATGAGTCAGTAGCAGTGAAATTGTGGAGATTGACTAGGATGCCACCTATGAATGATGAGAAGGGTTCTTTTGATAGCACCCGTTTCACGTACAAAAGATTACGTGCAACATGCCATCTCGTTTTGCCAGTTCTAAAATGCATTTATGTTAGTGCTGCTTCAGTTCTGAAATGCTGCTGGTGATTTCTTGTGTCTTGTATTTTTATGGTTGCTTGCTTTTTTACTTGTGGGGAGTAGATAAGACATCCTTTTTTGGTTTGCAAATTGTTGTTCATGGTCTTGGAAATGTCCACTCATTCATTTTCATGCATTTTGTGTTTGTGTTTTACT